AGGGAGCTGAGCTCTGGTGCTCAGGGCACCCCTGTGCTGGTCAGGGAACAGAGCTCTGGTGCTCAGGGCACCCCTGTGCTGGCCCAGGAGCTGAGCTCTGGTGCTCAGGGCACCCCTGTGCTGGCCCGGGAGCCAAGCTCTGGTGCTCAGGGCACCCCTGTGCTGGTCAGGGAGCCGAGCTCTGGTGCCCAGGGCACCCCTGTGCTGGTCAGGGAGCTGAGCTCTGGTGCTCAGGGCACCCCTGTGCTGGTCAGGGAGCAGAGCTCTGGTGCTCAGGGCACCCCTGTGCTGGTCAGGGAGCCGAGCTCTGGTGCTCAGGGCACCCCTGTGCTGGCCCAGGAGCTGAGCTCTGGTGCTCAGGGCACCCCTGTGCTGGTCAGGGAGCAGAGCTCTGGTGCCCAGGGCACCCCTGTGCTGGCCCAGGAGCTGAGCTCTGGTGCTCAGGGCACCCCCTGTGCTGGCCCAGGAGCTGAGCTCTGCCAGCCCTGCTGTGAGCGAGGCTGCTGAGGGAAACACGGGCTCTGCTGGTGGATTGCAGCTGCTGAGTGCCACAGGGAAGGGTTACCTGGCACCAGGGAGATGGAAACAGGTTCCTTTCTGAGAGCACTGGGCCCAGCATGCTCCAAGGGAAATGCTCTTCCCAGGGCACATGGTTAAGCAGTGAAACAGAGCCAAACAGAGTATGGAATTGCCATGGCTGGAGACTTTCAGAAATGCTGCACAAAGCCGTCATCCATTTTATTTAACTTTGGAATTAGCTCTCCTTGAGCACAAGCACCTCTCCACTCGAGGAGGGTCTGCCTCCACAAGTCACTTCCAACTAGTCTATGATGCCAATACCAATGTCCAGATGTGTCCTACAATCACATGAATTAAACCTGATTCAAGAAACTCTGCAAAACCCACTTATGTTGGCCCTCCAGGAAACATGCAAAGAAACAATTTCTGTTTTCAGGCCCAGATGAGGTTCAAATAAACATTTCAGAGCTTCCAAAAGAATTTCACTAGAGGAAGAAATAAAACCAGAATGTATTGTAATGGCTGTTCAAGCTGCACTGAGGGGAAGAACCAGTGTAACTGCATCACATGCTGGGCAGTGCTCTCTGCTTAGGCCCAGAAGGATTTTAGGATTTTACCATTAATCACTCCTGCCTGCAAACTGCACTGCTCCAGATTTTGGTACTTCACCACTCTCTGGATTCCTTCACTGGCAGTAAGATTCTGCATTATACTTCCCACTACAGTAAGCCATTAAAACTGCACTTTATAGGTTCCCTGCCCCAGGGCAAGAGGGAGGGAAATGCATAAAAAACCAACATAAAATTTTTCATGGCTTTAGTTTTCAAAGTTTTATTTTCCACTTTAGAAAAATCTAGTTTTCCTTTCCAGTCCAACACATTAGATTTTCTTGCTGAAGTACCTAAATAAATGGTTTTAAAACATTTTTGCTATTGAAGGGGCAGAGTGACTCTAAACCCAAGAGAATTTCCTAAGAGGTAAAAGAAAACATCCTAAACACAGGACACAAGATCACAATTGGTAAGTGATCTTCATAACTATCTTTAAGAATTCTTCAGAAACAAGAAAAAAATGTCACTGTTGCATTTTACTTCTAGAACTGCAATGCTCTGATTTCTATCCCATCCTTTAAAGCTCTACTTCAGAAAAAATAGATAAGTGGATTTCTTATTAAAAAAAAAGAACACAAAAACTCATCCTGTTTCTAGAGGTCTTGCAGACACAGCTAAGTACCAGGACTAACACATTTCCTCCTCTCTCTTCACTTTCCTCAGTGTTGCAAGTCACACTGATCTGGTACAAACTGGAGACAAGGAGGTTATAACAAACTTCCCTGACTGTACTTGGTCTCACAAAGGAAATCCCACATTAGTATCTCAGTAAAAAGTCAGGTTAATTGAGGAGTATGTTACTCCTCTGAAAAGAAGAAAAAAATTCCTGAGATTCAAGACAACTTTAAAAAGGTTGAACAACAAACTTTATATTATATTTCACCTAAGGCTAAGTCTTACCATGGCAACTGTTAAGAAACAAAAATATTTCATAGTAGCCAAGCAATCAGACTTTTGCTTCTGTCACCTCTAATAAAGGAAGTTTAGACTGGCTCCTGTAAATGCAGGCCATAATCTCACCAGCAATTAAGTGAATGGTTAACTTTGCACAAGAGGAAAACTTCAAAAAGATGAAGTGAATGCACATCATTGTATGATCAGGATTTTACTGCACAGCACTGATAACACACCTAAGCTTACAGCGATAATGGAACCAAAATTAGCAATGTTTTTGTTCCACACCTCCCTCCTAAGTGAAAAAGACCTCTAATTACAGTACAGATACTGAGAGCCTTATCACAGGTGCAGTGGAGGCTTTATCACCTCTCCCCCTTTGTTCCTGCCCTTCAGCACCTCTCCAGGACAGAAGAGAGGATCAATGAACTGAGCCTGTCCTGAAGAGCCAGCACTGGGAGCAGCTCCTGCCCAGGCTCCCAAGGAGCTGCAGAGGCAGCTCAGCAGCCCAAGAGGAACAGTGACCCAGGCAAGGCTGCTGCCATGGAAAGCCCAGGAGATCAGAGCCTCACCTGGACCTGCACCTACCTGTTCCCAGCTCCCCAGGTGAATAAGCTCTGGAACAAGTGGGGGCAGGGAGGCACCCAGCCACCTCACCTGGGTGAGCTGCCTGTGATCAAGCTTGGAGGAGAACCTCAAACATCACTTTAATTTACTTCATTACTACCTTTTCAAACTAATTTTACTGAGTCACCAAGATCTGCTGCAACCCTGTCTGGAAACACAGGGAGGATGAGAGCATTTACCCCAGGATACAGACTGCAGTTCATCCCCTGAATATCAGAATTCATGATGAAGTTAAAAAGCTGACAGAAGCCCCACGAAGACCACGTAACTCTCCCAGAACTAACAACTGAACACAAAAATATTTCACATTTCACTTGTCCTGATTTGCCTCAGTACTTTTTGTTTGCTACATTAGGAACAGGCTGTGACTGAGTAAGATCCATTGTTGTTCAATAATCAAGTCTGCAAACCACGGGTGTAATTACCCCTGACTAAACCATCCTCACTGCTTGTTTTTTTCAAGCTATACTCTGAACTTTGTAAAAATCCTAACAAATGTCATGGCAAACTAGTATTTTATCTCCTCACTCCAAAGTATCTGCTGGTTTAGATTCATTCTATTACACAAAGTTATTTTTATATAAGTGAAAATAAAGACTATCTAGTGCATTTTAAATTTGCATGTATTTGGTAGGTCTGCCTATTCCAGAAGACTTGTACTTGTCAAGCTGTACCAGCTCAAAAGTACATAAAGTTCTTAAAAGGCATGTTGGCAATCTTCATATGAGTGATTCCCAGGAGATTTTAACTTTTTTACTCATTTTTTCCCTGATATTTTCACACATAACACATCAGTGAACAAACAAACATGTTTGATGAACAAATACAGACTTTGGTAGATAATCTGAAGCAAATTTAGTATTATAAAACAGTATTTCCATGCCTACCTCCAGATCATATTAGGCATTTCTGATGTTCACATCCAACAACTTTTAAAAAACTATTTAATGCATCTGAAAGGTTTAAGAAGGCTGAAAAGAGCTACTGACCTCAAAAAAAATAAAAAATAAAACTCTGGAAACATAGAAGGCAGGATCTGTATATCAGATGACAGACCCCCGTTCAGGTTTAAGTTTGTAAAAATAAAATAAAAATAATAAGATAAACCTAGATTTCCTAAATGAAAATAAAATGAGAAAGGAAATAATTTTCCCAAAAATTTGCCCCTACAGAATCACTTTTTAAAAATTAGTTTGGAATATGCATGATAGTGGCAGAAACAATAAAAAAAACCTGAAGAAATACCTCAAAACGGGGAAAAAATTTTAAACTTATTTTTAGTACGGGCTTACTGTGGTGTGTTTTTTCTGTACAATAAGCACTACCCCAAAACATGAAGCATTACAGCTGTGTATGTCTGCTGAGCATGAGCCTTCTATTCAAAGAGCAAAGTACATTTCAGAACTTGTTTTTCTTTCTAAACCATTAATCCAAGCAGCACTAAAAAAAAAAAAAAAAAAAAGAAAACCACCAAAAGCTACAAAATCTCTTACAAGTTCGCGGGACTCTAGAAACTCAAACAAAGCCCCTGCGGTCACTGGCTGATCACAAAACACTCGCAAAAGCAAATCTCCCCTGCTGGAGCCGTAGTCTGGCACTAGGCCTCAAAAACAAGGAGACAGCCTGGGCGCCACAAAGTGAGCCAGCTACGCCAGCGCAGCCGGGGAAGCCTTTCCCCTTCCTGCCAAATAGTGAGCCCGAGGAAGTCAGCACGGCGATCCCTGCAAGGAGCGCGGCTCCCGCGGCTCCCGGGCGGGAGGGAAGCGCCGGGAGAGCGGCACGGGAGCGGCGGCACCGGGGAAACCCCGCCGGGGGAACAAGCACGGCAGCTCCGGGCGGACCCCGCGCACCCCGGCTGCGAAAGCGCCTCCGGATCGGGCCCGGCACCGGCGGCGCCCAGACACAATCACAGGATGGTTACAGAGCTCGGAGAGAAACAATGTGAGCGGCTGATATCTTTATGTAAATAACACAATTAGATACTGCGAACACAGTTATACAACAGTGTACGGCAGGCGTTGCGACAGCAGCTGAACTCGCCACTTACAAAACCTGAATCTCTGTTAAAAATTACAGGGAAAGCAACAGGTTTTTTATTGTGCTGAGCAGGATCAGTAGGACCTGACAGACACCCCAGAGCAAAGCCTATACGAGAAGTATCTCCTCGTTAGATCAAACTATTAGCAGACTAAATTAATCCACACAAAATTAAATGGGAACTAAGGAAAGCTTATTCAGCTCGCTGAAGCAACCTACAGGCGAAAAAAGAATCCTGGTAAAATCGCATTGACGTAAATGCAAGAATTGTTTTAAGTCACAACTGAGGACCACCAAAACAGTCACACTTACATCGTCTCTCCAGTCTTAGCAACATGACAAAGAAACTGATCCAGTATTGGACACACTTCCTTCTTTCCTCTCTTCTCAAAATCTGTTGGCATGAGAACGACACAAAAAGAATGGTAAAAGAAGACGGGACAGAACAAAAATTCACAATAATTAGCGATTTGCTTGAACTATCAGTACAGCTCCCACAAAAACACTGTTGTGTTCTCACAATGCTCCGGCTGTTCCCATGAACTCCACCAGCTTCCCAGCCCTGGGAAACACTTATTATTTTTCCTGCGGAGAAACCGCACGCACCAGAGTGGCAAAAGTTGATTTGCAACTTCTTGTGAGCAGCTACGGCACAGAAAGAGACCGATTTCCTCAAGCTGAGCCCAGAACAGAGAGGGCTGGCGAGGGAGAAGGGGACAGGTCCGGGCTGGGCCGGGATGCGAGGGAAGGGGCCGGGATGCGGGGGAAGGGGGAGGAAGGAGGGAGAAGGGGCGGCCGGGGCGGGGAGTCCAGGGCGGCAGCCGGGGAGCCCCGAGAGTCACCGATCCCCCTCACGCAGCCCCGAGGGTCGTTGGGTAGGGAGATCGGGGGCTCTGCCCTCCGCTTCCCCACAACGACCCCCGCGCTCTCCCCACTCTGTGGGACCCCCTCAGCGAGCAGCCCCCTCCCCACAGCGCGGGGACCCATCGCCCTCAGCGAGGGGCGCTCCCCCCACAGCGTCTGAGGGACCTCAGTCTTCCCCTCCGCGCGGCGACACCGCTCCCCCAGCCCCCACCGCCAGCCTCGCCGCCACCTTTCAGCGCCTCCTGCAGCCTCTCGACGTCCATGATCCGCCCGGGCGATTCCCCCGCGGCTCCGCGCGGCTCCCCCGCCCCAGTCCCGCGCAGACCGGGCCGCGCTCACAGCAAGACCCCGCGCTCAGCGACGCTCCAACATGGCGCCCGCGCCGTGCCCGTGCGCGGCCCCGCGGCCCCGCCCGCCGGAGGAGGAGCCACGGGGCGGAGCCAATGGGCGGTCCCGCGGCGGGGGCGGGGTTAACGGGGGTCCCGCGGCAGGGGGCGGGGCCGGCGGCCGTGAGGGAGGGGCAGGGAAGGCGGCGGGAAAAGCGGCGGGAAAGGCTCGGCCACAGCGCCCGGCTGAGCGAGCGGCGGGCACGGTGTGAGCGCCGCTCTTTTTGGGCTTCTTTTCCGGCTGCGGGTTATCGTCCTCCTCATGCCGACCCCGCCGTGCGGATCCTCGGGGGAGAGAACGCGGAGCCGTTTCCCCTTCACGCGCCGGCCCCTCAGAGAGCTCTTGTTCTTTCCTCCCCCGCTCTCAGGCTGAGGGTGACTGCGCTCCCCCCTGTTTGTGCAAGGACGTGCCTGTCTTTTTATTCTCAAGATCCCCAGTTGGAAGGGGTCCACCATCCAGTCCAGCTCCTGATCCTGCACACACTCCAACAATCCCACCCTGTGCATCCCTAGAGCACTGTCCAAACGCTCCTGGAACTCTTGGCCTTGGGGCTGGGACCATTCCTGGGGAGCCTGGGCAGTGCCCAACACCCTCTGGGAGGACCAATCTTTTCTTAATATCCCACCCAAACCTCCCTGACAGCTTCAGGCCATTCCCTCGAGTCCTGGTCACAGGAGTGAAGAGAGAGATCGGTACCTGTCCCCTCAGCTTCCCCTGGTGAGGATGCTGAAGATCCCAGTGATGTCTCTCTCCCCTCAGACTCCTCCAGGTGACTCTCCTGCCTCTCCCAGCCTGGCACATTCCCTGTGAGAATCCCCTCGCCCATCCCGTGCCAGCTCTTGGCTCTGAGGATGCAAAGCCCTGGCAGAGCTGGCACTCCTTGCTGGCCAAGCTGCCGAGGTGAGGCAAGGAGCAGACAAGAGGCTCCAGCCCAGGCCCCTCCACTAACTGGGAAAGAGTCCAGTTCACCTTTTCCTGTTCACCTTTTTCACCAGTTCAAATCACCTTTTCCTTCCATTCTCAAAGCTGAAACATTTAAATGTAATCCCAGGACACAAAAAGCTTGTAGGTAGTTTCATCATCAGTTTGTTGTGTGATCTCAGGCAAAGGGGTGAAGCAATCACACCTGAGCTTCTTCATTAATGAAACATAAATTATAATTACTCCTTGTAAGGTATTTGACACACCTTGTAATAAAAATGTACGCAGAGAGGATGATTTCATTTCGTGTCAGTTCCCAGCCTGCTTGTATTCACTGACACCCAACAACAAGAAAAATCACCTTGTTGGGGAAGATGTGGTGGTTTAAACATCCAAGTAAAGAATAAAGAGAAACTGTTTAATAATCCAGTTTTTTTTTTTTTCTTCCACTAAACTTACACAAAGCCTTGTTAAGATTTACGTCTCAGATTTAAAAACGTACTTTTTGAGAGTTATAGGCTGTTGAACCCCTGGGCATGGATCAATAATTAAAATTATTTGTGGTGTAAGACCAGCAGCTCCTTCTGCTCTCAGTAATGAAGATTAGATTAGGTATCTAGAGAGCCCTGACCCAACTTGACTTAAAGCAGTTTCCCTTCACTGAAGTGTGACAGCAATTTGTAAGGTATTTCCACCCAGTTTGAACCAAAATTGATTGTTGTGCTTTGAAACAATCTGTAGCAATTCAATTCAGCATTCAAGCAAGGGAGATGCAGCAGAATCCAGTGAGAACAATAAGAAAATGACAACAATCTTATATTTCAAGGCCCACTTAGGTCTTCAGAAAATATTGTACATCGATACACATCAAAGGATTTAAAAAAGGAGCATAGAGATTTTGTTTGGTTTGTTTAAATTTATAGCTGCAGAACCTGAGCATGGTACAATAACTTGACACTAAAAATCATGGATCTCTGGAAGGAAAGTTGTTAGTTTTTTTTCTTTAAAGTATATCACAGCCACCTTGAGACAAATTATGATTCTCCTCTGAGAAAATGACTAAAAATCTTTATTGTGCTTTTAAAAAATCTGGAAGACTTGGGAGTATCGAAAGATGAGAACAGCTCACACACAGTGCCTTAAAAAAAAGAGGCTGAGAAGAGAAAAATTGTGTTTGTGGGAGCTGTTTCTTTTGAAAGATTACCCACAGGAGATACAAAAAAACCAAGGAATGTGACAAACATTCCAGGCTTTACCTGTCAGCCACTGGCCCCAGCAAGTCCCCAGGGATTGTCTCCTATTAATCCAAGAGCAAACTGGCCAGCAGAATTTTCTTTCCCAGCTGTATTTCACACCTTCCTCCCAGAACATCCCTGGGACAGGAGCTTCCTGACATCACTCCACAAACTCAGACTAAAACCAGCCCTGTTTTCTCACCTGGAGCCTCAGTGTGAGAACCAAGGTGCCCTCTGGAAGTGCTGAGCAGAATGGGAAGGAAATTTTTCCCTGAAGGTGCGAACCCTGAGAAAGCACCTGCTGTGCATAGTTCTAACCCTCACAGGAGGGAATTAACATTCTCAGGAGGATTCAGGAAAAGATGCTTTACAAGAAGAGGTCTTTAAAATAAAGAGCTGTGTCATTTCTGTGTCATTATTTCAGCATTAATGACCAAAACTATACATTCACACTTTTGGGCTATAGTGGAGTAACAGCAGCAATTAAGGTAAGTTTACAGAAATGTGAAAGTCAAACCAAAATATTTTACCTCAGAAGAAAACATTAACAAAGTGCTTTGTTCATCTTCCATGCTGATTCTCAATTTGGTGTTTTGTCTCCATTTTCATTTCAAAGGAAGTGTTGACAGTTTGGTTTTTATTCTGATCCAGAATGAAAGCAGAATTTCCCAACATCACTCTTTCTTTTGAAGCTGAGATAACAATTCCTTATCTCGTGCCAGCAGGAGGTGCAGGCTGATCCCAGCACACGGGAGCACTTGGCCCAGGAGCAGTGGGGAATGTGATCCTGGTGACTGCCCCAGCCCATCCCATCCCATCCCATCCCACCCCACCTCTGGAGCTGTGCTCACTCTCTCTTTACTACCATCACATTTTATTGCACCTGATGGAGAGGGGAAAGGGATTCTCTGACAGTTGATAAAGTGTCAAGATTTAGTTCTTTCTTTAGTTGTACTTTATTCCCAGCTTGGGAAATCTCTCTTCTCCCCACAGCAACAGTGGCTGGAGCCAGGTTTGCAAGTGAAAACCCTGGATCACTGAGGAGTGTGACTGAGTGTGTAACACACCCCACACACCCAGAGCCTTCCCAGCACCCAGGGCTGGGGTTTTACAGCTGGCCCACCCTGCCCATCCACGTCAAGGACAGTTTCATTCTTGATTTCAGAGAGCTGAGGCTGAGCCCAACACATCACCCAGCTGGGGACAGTGTCAGCACCAGGATCTGGCTGAACAGCCAGCCCAGAGCTTCTGTCACACAGAGATGTCACCAGCAAGGACAGCACAGCAGTGACCACACAAGAATGTCAAAAAATGCACACAAGAAGGAGGGAGAGGAAATGATGCTAAAAGACCTCCAGAGAGTGAAACATTATGGAGAACCAGTAAAGAGTAAAAGATAAAACCCAGTTTCCTTTGAGAGCAGGTTCTGATCTATGCTCACCGTAACACAGCTGGAGCTGCAGCATGACACACGAGCACTTTGGGGGAAGTTAAATGTATTTGTCTCTTTATATCCAATATCAGACTCTTTCACTACAGTAAAACTGTGAAAGAGGAACATTTATCTGTGTTCCCTGCTGTCAAACCCGGTATACACACAGTAAAACATCACACCTACAAAACTCTATCCCGACCAGACCAGCACAAAATCTTGTATTTAAAACAAAACTAGCAAATTATAGAGCTTGCTTAAAATTTCATTTATTTGCATTGTAAGCCAAGGGATCATCCTCAATTCAGAAATGCACTGCTCAGCCTCCTTGGGAGCTGTAACAATCAGTGCACTTGTCAAAGAAAAATCCACAAGCAATTCAGGGACAAAGAAAAGGGACATTTTTTACACACATGCTCGTGCTGTGCACACACACTGAGCAGTTTCCAGTTTCCCCTGTAAGCAAAATCTGGTGAGCTCTATCCATTATATCACTGGAAATAACTAAAACACAGGAGAGGAAGGGGAAATGAGGACATAAAGTCTTTGTAAGTATTTACACATCCCATTATTAAGATAAATGAAGGCTAATTAACATGGAATTAGCCACAAGTATGAAATACAAAATTAATTAAAACTGGTTTCTAAGTAAGATGAATATTACAATCAAGTACTGTTAAAAATAAAATATAACATGGTTTTGGAAGCTGTAGTGAAATATAAATTAATAATTCTACTAACAACAAAAAACAAAGTTACGTAATTGTTTTAAAACACTTTGGAGAGCTCCAATTATTGCTTTTTTCCTCAGAAAAAGCCCAGCAGGGGGGAACCTCCCCCATTCTTCCTGCCAGCTGATATTACATTAACAAGAGTCTTCATGTTAAAGCAAGTACTTCATATATTTAATAGCTGTTGAGAACACAACTCAGTTCTTCCTAAACAAAATGTAGCACCTCCTGTGAACATAAAAAGCACTGCTTTAATCTCTTATCAGTTCATATGCAATAATGCCTTTGTTTTGTAATGAATTCCACTCCTTCATTTGAATGTGCCTGTAGTTGCAGGGTTCTCTGTGCTGAATCACAGCTTACACAACCTCAGCCTCCCAAACTCCAGAGCTGGGGCTGCAACTGTCTGGGCAGCACGGCTGTGCTCTGCAGCCCTCTGTGCCTTGGAGACACCATGGAAATCAGGAATTCAGCCTGCCCAGCATGCAGCTCCACCAGCTCCTTAGACGTGGCAGCTTTACCCTGATGTTTGAAAATAAAGACCAAAAGCAAGCTAATACTTCATACAAGCTCTCAGAATTGCTGGCCTAAAGGTTTACCTGTCATACATTATTTTAGACTTTTTAAATCAGCAGCTTTACCTTCTTTTCTCTGCCTTCTGGTTCTGAAATCTTCAATGCTTATTTGGGTTACATTTCAAACTTCCTTCAGTAGGTACAAGTGTACTCTTGCTTAAAAATTGGCAACTGAAATAGAAAATCCTAAGGCAAGTTGGAAAGGCATCTCTGCTCAAGTTTAAATGACTCTCAGTGAGTTAGCTGCCTCTGTCCTTCACATGTCAATTTACACTCTGGTGGCAAACACTGTGAGATAAGGGCTGGAGTCAGAGCACGTTGTTTAACCAAACTGTGATTACGACTTGCAGCAGAGGTGCAAACAAGGTTTCTGTTCCTGTCACTCCTGTGAGGTCCTGCAGTTCTGCTGTCCCTTACTCCAGGCCCCTGTCCCAGTGCTCAGCTGCCTGCAGCCCTGCTCTCTGCCAGGCTGTGTCACACACACCCTCACACTCCAGGCCTTGGGAAAAGCTTCCTGGGACTCCATCCCGTGCACAGGCTCTTATCTGGCAGCCTGGGATGGCACCAAGGTCGTGCTTTCCCTCCTCTCAGAACTGCCACACAAGGAGAGAGAAATGCTGAGACAAAAGGGAGACTCTTGGTGTTTTCTTATGAAACCATGACTGGATAGGGGAGAATGCCCTAAACTGCAATTCCTCAGAAATCCTATTTTAACTTTGGGAACATATCCTTTCCCCCATCCACAGTCCCCAAGAATTTCTCTCTAACAATGTATGATACATGTACAGGATATCCAACCTGTGCCAGTTCTCCTTTCATTAGGGGAAGGCTCCATTATCTCACCCAGCTCCTACTTTGCCTGTTAGATACAAAAATGAGCAGTTGCAAGCAATGGCTGATGTTTTCTGCTCAACAGACTTGAAAAGTAACATCATTTTCTCTGCTGCTTCTTCCTTGAAGCACTCCTACACACACCCATGGGGCTTACACCTAGAAAATGCCCTCTGGGAGTCTGCTCTTGGATCACTGCTCTTCAGGAGTGAGTCTGCTCTTGGAGAGCTGCTCTGCAGGAGCGTCCTCACTTCCAGTTCCCCAGGGAATGGTCCCAAGCATCTTTCAGCTACTGCAATTTAAATAAGCTCTTTGTGCTTATCACAAGATGATGATCATACCTTGGAAATTAAAGCTAAATGAAGTATTTTAAATGAACATCAAAGCCCTTTTGTATCCTCTTCCACTTGGAGGCTATTCATTTGGATCCCAGCATAAAGGTCTCAACTTCCCCACCCCTGGAAGTGTCCAAGGCCAGGTTGGACAGGGCTGGAGTAACCTGGTCTAGTGAAGGTGTCCCTGCCCATGGCAGGGTGTGGAACAAGATATCCCTGATGGTCCCTTCCAGCCCAAACCACTCTAGAATTCTGTGGTTCTGTGATCCCAGAAACGGAAGTGCCAGGCAGAAATACATTTCCATGCAGGAGAGGGGAGTCAGGGGCAGCACTGGCCATTCCCCAAGGCAGGGATGGAAAACTGTCTGGCAGTGGAATACTGCTGTTACTGTACAGGGAATAGCACTTAAAGAGGAGGATGGATCAACAGTACCTGGGTTTGTACTCTTCTCTGACAATCTTGGACTGTGCCTCTTGCAATTCACATTACCAAGCAGAGAATACATTCTTAAACTGTAGGGGACTGGGGTGGCAGGCCACAACTGTACTCCACAAAGAAAGCATTCTCCTGCTGTTCTCAGCAACAATCTCAGCAGGCTTCTAGGATTTCCTGCTTTTTGTAATTTCAAGGGTTGTTAGAAAATTGGAAAAAGAAATATTTTAATTCTGAGTTTCAGTAAAAGAGTTCATATTCTTCATTTATATCCTTCATGAAATGGAGTGCAAGACTTAAAACTTCTGTGTAAGAGAGCCACAGTTAGTATTTGTGGTTGGCCCCCAAGTACACAATGACACGATTTTCATACACCTTCTTCATTGTTTTCTCAATTTGCTTCAAAAATACTTGTGGAATTCTCCCACATAAAGTGTGCACTGTATCCAGAAACCTCGACTGCAGAGGGTAGTACAAGGACTGGAAGAGATTGTCTTCAAATGGAAACTAAGGAAAAGAAACAAAAAAGAATTTTTAGTTTTCAGAATTTGTGGAAGGGCAGTGTGTAAGTTTCTGTAAGAGAAAACCTTCCATAGGTAGGGAATGTCTTGTCCCTCACCTGCTGAGTGTCACCAACCCCATCGCTTCACATCCTGCCCGCCTGAGAGTGTGCATTTACAGGTATTAATGTAAAGATACTGTAAGGAAACAGGAGTTTTGGCAAGCAGACACACAACATCCCAGCCTCTGCCTACGGATAGGATTCTGCCCTCTGTGCCTGGAGGCCTGAGGTGCTCAGGGAGGAGAAGCTTTCCCTGGGAATTTATGGACCAGAGCTGCAGCCCCAAAATGAGAAACTTCACTCCAGCTTTTCCTACCTTCAGTACTACAGCAAAGCAATTGATCAGCCTTCTTGATTACTATAATACAAATGAAAAATGTTTAAACCACCTCAAATGCACGAGAAGCCAAAACAACCATGTTGATTTATGCCTGGTGGGCTTTACCCAAACACAAGCACCCATCCCGACGGCTGGCAGAGCCATGTGAGTGAACCCACCCTGGGGCACAGGGAGGGCTCTGTGGAGGCAGCACTTACATCCCGGATCACCTCGTAGAGGGCCCTGAAGGTGGGCTGCTTGTCGTCGTGGTAGACGCCTCTGTTGCCGTGCAGGATGGAGACGCCCTCGTCCTCCGCGCCCCTGCAGTTGCTGCCGTACATGCAGTGGTCAGGCCGGTAGTTCCACTGGCAGGGGAACACGTACAGACATTCTGCCCACGGCAGCGGGCACAGGGAGGGACAGGAGACACGTCAGACAAGAGTTACAACAAATCCAACCAGCCTGGCACCGATGGTCGGGGAATGCCCACAATGCAAGTATCCCCAAGAGAGACAGCTCCTTCCCTCATGGTGACCCCACTCCCCAGCTGCTGGTCCTGAACTGGGGTATTTGCTGGCTCCCCAGGATGAGGAGGAATTGAGAATCTGACTCCATGTTCTTAGAAAGCTAATTTATTATTATATTGTATTATATTCATATTATATTAAATTATTATCATATTGATATGGCATAATATAATATGGCATAATATAATATAATATAATATGGCATAATATAATGTAATACAATATAATGTAATACAATATAATGTAATACAATATAATGTAATACAATATAATGTAATACAATATAATGTAATACAATATAATGTAATACAATATAATGTAATACAATATAATGTAATACAATATAATATAATATAATATATTTACATAATAATGTATTTACATGTTACATTTATATTATAGTATATTTTATCTATATTATATTTATATTTTATATTATACATTTATATTATAAAATTATATTTATATTATATATTTATATTATATTGCATTGGATTACATTATATTGCATTATATTATACAAAAACTATACTAAAGAATAGAGAAAGGATATATACAGAAGGTTACAAAGAATGATAATGAAAACTCATGACTGCGTCCAGAGTCCTGACACAGCTGGATAGTGATTGATCATTAAATTAAAACAATTCATATGAAACCAATCAAACAACCACCTGTTGGATAAACAATCTCCAGAGCAAAGCAGCCAAACAGGAGAGAAGAATGAGATAATATTGTTTTCATTCTTCTCTGAGGCTTCTCAGCTTCCCAGGAGAAAAATCCTTGGCAAAGAGGATTTTTCAGAAAATGTGACAGTGACACTGAACAGACAGGACAACACAAAATCTGGCACTGAACACGACCCAAGGGAGCCCTTCAGAAAGCTGCAGTGAAGAACCAAACCAGAGCACACAGCAGGTGGCAGTGTCCAGCACCCTGTGCCGTAGCAAGGAGTCTGGAGTGACAGGAGCGACTGGGGAAGCACACACAGCACTGGGGTCATGAAAATCCCAGCTCCTCCTGAAGCCAGCAAGGGAAAGCTTACAAAGTACATCCAGGGTTTGCTGCCGCTGCTGTCACAGGGGCCATGACAATTTGTTACACAGCAGAGCATAAGGGGTGGTGTATTTTATCCACAGCTCTCCCAAGAATCATCATCCATTAATTTCACAGGTCTAGGTTATTTAGAGATGAGCCTAATTTCTCAAAAGGGCTCAGAACTCCCTTTCTCCTGGTGATTTTTTATAAACTCCATGCACACAGTGCTTGCAATCTGCTTGTCATAAATCACTCCAGTCCCTGCAACCTTTCTGCCTCGGCCCTGGGGAACAATGAGTGATGGCTGGTGCCAGCAGGGCATGGCAGAAGCACTGAAGATTGAATTCCTCCCTTGGCCTTTCCCAGCTCCCCTGGAAGCCTGCAGCTGGTCTCGTGTGGTTCTTGAAAAGCAGAAGAAAAACTTTCTGACCTTTTCTTCCCTTCAGGCCTCTCCAGCAGAGCTCTCCAGAAAGGGAGAGCAGTCTTTGGAGATGGGCAAAGGAGCAGCTCCTCAGGCCCAGGGAACAGAGCTCTCTGTGGTTTTAACTCACATCCATAAAACGGCACCTGCAGCACTCTTGGCCAATTCCCCTCCCAGCCAGTCTCAACAACCCAGAGCTGAAGACTTCAGAAAATCCAGTTTTCTGTGCTAATGGTACACAATTCTTTCATTTTCTTTTCTTGAGCAGTCTGGTATGACACAATTCATAAAAAACTCTTTACCAGTTCTGAGGAAAGGACAGACTGTGGTGCAGAGGAGTCTCCACATGCAGCTTTGATAGAGAACACTCACCACAATATTGAAGTTTTTTTGCAGCCTTTTTTTTTCCTGCACACTTCAGTGTCTGACTTCACAACTAATCTAGCTCCATATTTTTCATTCTCCAGGAGACCATGCTCCCATAACATTTGTTTCTTTTTGGAAACTAATTCCCACTCTATTTTTCCCTAGGACTGGGGGTAATCTATGGGACAGTGATGTTTGACATCTGTCTGCAGTAAACAGATGTTTGCTTTTTGCTTTGCTTCTCCTCACCCCAGCAGTTTGCCTGGATTTGGGTATATCCAATTACCTACCCTGTGACTCCTCAGAGATAAAGAAATGGGAGCAGAATAAATAAAGATAATTCTAAACTTGGTTTATTCTTAAGGTAAGTTAAGGTGACTTAGGAAACCAGGAGAAGCAGTAGGGATGGACACTCAGCATCCATTCAGAAGCATGAAATGAAGTTCTCAGCTTCTCTGGGAAGTGTGTGCTATGCTCCAGTGTTTAAATCCCTGCATTTCCCACCAGCAGGACATCCATGACATCATCTGGTGCCTGCTGAGTCAGGTCACTCAGCTCAGAGGCTGGAAGCTGCTTTAGGTGAGATATTCCAATGGCTGTGTCCACCTTCTGTCTATATTAGCTTTGTTACTGATTTGCAGAAGTATCACAGGTCAGCGGAATTTCAGAAAAAGGGGGCTTAGCTTTGCAGAAAGTTTGGCACTTTCACATCCAGATAAATATCTGAAACAAAAACATTTTTGCAGCTACACCCTGGTCCAGTGACACCCTGAAGCTCACACTTGACATGAACTTCATCCCTTCACTTCATCATTACTTTTACACCTCATTATTTTTTCAAACCTCCAGAAATCAGATTTATATATTCAATGGAACCAAGTCCAAGCCCCATTACCTGCAGCAATGTCAGAAATGTTTTCATAGGTTAAAAATCCTTTGAGGATACAGTTACAGAGTAACTCCATACCAGAGTATTTATGCATATTGAAAATAACAAATAGCAGTTAAAAAATCAAGCTCAAAATATTTTCCCAAAACAGATAATGAAGACTCCAAGATCATTCCTTACCTGGGTTAAAGTAAAAAATGATATTTAGCAGATCCTGGTCTCCCCATGTGATGTAATTTTTGTACTTTTGGTACAATGGATACAACATTTCCTCCCAAGTCAATCCACCTGGTATCAGACTGTTCTGCAGGGCAGGAAAACAGAAGCAAGGGGTTAAAATCATGATCAGTGCTGTGGTATCTGATCCAGAGTGGGCACACACAAATCTCTAAGCTCTGCTAAGCCATGTTGGACATCCAGGTGAAAAGTGAAAAACAGTCAGGAAATGTTGGACCTGGACAGGGCTGTTACAGCAGAACTCACTGTGTTTATCTGGACAGGAAAACAAATCTCCTGGGCCCAGCTCTGATGTCAGCTCCTGCTATTCACAATCTTCCTTTTCCAAGTAACAGGAGGGGAAAAAAGTGAAAAAGTGGAAAATGCAGGGACAAGGTGAAAACCAAGGTATAAAAGCAAGGAAAATTACAGACTAAAGATCATCCTCTCTGGGAATTATGGTAGGAAGAGCAATGTTTGGGGGTTTTTTCCTCCAGCTGTTCCAGTAACAATGTGGGAAACCCCTGGCATTGTCAGAGGAACCCCTTGGGGTATGCAAAGTTTTAGTCATTACAGAATATGTGCTCAACAACACAGATGTGTCATGAAAAACTGTTCCTTCTCACTTACACCAGTTCACAGAGTCACTTATCTGCAGCAGGATGCAAATTCTACTTACAACAGATGCAGAATTCACCAACTTCTCTGGATATTCACATCAAGCTTTCCAGTTTTAAAAACAATACAGCTACTGCACTGAAGATCTGTGAGTTTGTTCTGTCATGTATCTTTTCACATAAGAAGCTGGGGAAGGCATTTTTAACACTGCTACCAGACTGCTTCAGCTGCAAGTTCTCACTGCTCCAGCCTTGAGGAAGTTTCATTTATTTTAATAATCACGTTCACAACAGCTTTTAGTATCCACTCATACATATTCCATATTTCTCTGATTCTTTGTATTACAAACTTCATGCAGAACACTGAGCTTTCCAAGATGTGAAAACATACAGTATTTGCAGGGAATGCCCTGACTAAAGAGAGAAATGATGAGGACTCTGTTGATATCAGAAGGCTAATTAATTACTTTATTATACTATATTATTCTCTATTATATTACACTATATTACATTACATGTAAACTGTATTTGCCAAGCACTCAATTCTGCACACCACTGCACAACAACTTGTCAGCCAACAGTCCCAACATAGACATGCTTGGCCCTGATAGGCCAAGGAAACAAAACACCATCACTCTGGGTAAACAGTCTCCACATTGCATTCTACTTTTGCACAAACAGGCACAGCAAATGAGACAAGAATTGTTTTTCTCATTCGCTGAGGTTCAGAGAACTCCAGAAATACCCTTGGGAAGACTGCCTTGCTTTTCTCAGTGAGGAGAAGCGTGGTTACACAAGCACACCAGCCCTGAGCGTGTGCAGGAGCTGCAGCTCTCTCACCTTGAAGCGGGCGCTGCGGATGCGTGTCAGGTTCATCAGCATCACGCCCGAGTTGAGGCCGGCGCTGCCGTAGAAGGGGTGCCGGGCGAAGCGGCTGTACCAGCCAATCTTGGGCAGCTCGTGCTCGGGGGCCATGGCAGCCAGCTGGGTGGAGTTGAACTCCCTCAGGAGCTGCCAGATGTCATCGATGGGCCTCAGGAACAGCACGTCCGTGTCCACGTAAAGCAGCGAATCCACGTCCTTTAAAATCACCTTTGGGGTTTGCGCACAGCATGAGAAACAAACCAGAGAGGCAACAAACACAAAGGTTAAAGTAAAAGTCCCTTTTGCCAATAAACTGATCATTTGGAAGCGGTTATTGATTTATCAGCTAAATGTAACTACACAGAGGAACAACAGTTATCAGATTACTGGCTTCTTGTTTGCTGTGGGGTTTTTTTGAAATGCACAATAAAGCAGCTACCAGAGCACTGAGGCTGGATTAACCTTCCTATGAAGCAGCAATTCACTGAGCTCCCAAAAATACCTGCAAGGAATACTTAGTACCCGTTCAGAAATTACATGTAAATAAAATGTATTTACAGAGCTATTTTCAAGATCTCCACTGGCAGAAAGGGGAAGATTTAGATTTACCAGGAGACCAGAAGATTTAGATTTACCTTCATATATAATTAATATATACAACTGTTTCACATTAATCAAGACAACCCCATTGATCACCAACATATGTGCATCCCCCTGAAGAATAAAATTTGTTTGTTAAACAGAAATGTCACATTAAAATACACCAGGTTGTACTCTGAGCACTGTTACCAGATTCTGTATAAAGAATAACCACAGTAAAGTTGGTCAGGTCAGAAGGGTGTAACTGCAGATTAGAGCCAGGATATTTCAGCGGTTCCTGCTGACCATGTTCCCCCTTGTGGCTGCCCAAATCCTTACACACTCCTTCATTAATATCCATGGGAGGACAATGACCTGGTGCTTCAAGACTTTGTAAAGGAATAAAGATCATTACCTACAGCTGACCACCAGTGCCAACTGCATTTTCATTGCTCTTCTTCATTATTTGCTAAAACTGTCCAAAATTTCCTTAAGTACTGAAATCTTCTTACTTTAAGTACTGAAATCATCTTACTTTGGTCTAGCCAAAACCCCTATTTGCTTATCTCTCTTTCTTTGAAAAGCAAACTCAAAGGACTTTGGATTTTCACCATGTGGAACACAACAATCACTCTCTCATCCAACTGCAATAACATTAATGACAAACTCTCCTATTTATGCAGGTGAAAAGAAATTCTACCAAAGAAATTGGGTTTTACATAAATTCTAATGTATTGTGACTGAGGATTACCTGTGAAATAAGAGTGAACAACATTAGGATTTATGGGTGGAAAAGTGGGTGAAAAATATCACCTCTAAGCATGCTCAACAGGAATCCACTAAGATGCCAAATCCCTGAGTAAAGACTTAAATGAGATTTTTCACCTGACTCAACACATTGGGATTCAGACTGACATTTAGTCAAGTTTAACAAATCCCTGACCTGTATTTCTGACAGGATAACTACATGTTCTTCCGACAGAACAGGGCAGCCAGGAGAAGGAACTGTCTCTGCATTTTAAACAAAAGTTAGGCTTACAACAAATTCTAAGTAAACACATTCAACACAGTCCAGATCTCTGCTGGATGGAAGATTATAGAAATACAGCATTTTCTCACAAAAACCTCACAAACCACCACGTAGAGGTATCTGTAAGTAAGTGACAAAAATTGCACAGTAATACACTAAGAGCTCAGAGTAAATATTGGCAGATGTTACGTATCCTCAAGTCCAGTATTAAAAAACCAAACCAATAAAAAAAGACAGGTACTGTAAGAATAAACCAATAGAAGATTTATGTAGAAGTCTGAAAGGAAGAAAGGTTTTCATTTTAGGGATATCCTGGGTATTGTATATTAATTATTCTGCAGCATCTAGGAGCCCTGATTCATAGGGACCTGCTATATGAAGTCACATAATATCAAAACGCATTAGAAAAAGAAAAATCACCCCCAAATTTAGCCTGAGACAGGAGGGAATACCGGAATACAAGCAGAGCAGACTCTGCCTGTGGATCCACAGCACACTGCAGATCATTTAAGATTTCTGTCTAAGGAGGCCATGGTAAAAAGGCAAATTGAGGCATTTTCCAGCAGGAAAAACTGACTCCAGTTCAGGGGGAAGTTTGATGGGTACCTACAGACCCTCCTCATCCTGCCCAAGCATAAGTGACAGCCTGCCACTGCTTCTTCCAGCAGAAAAACATTCTTTCAGCAGCTTTCAAAACTAATACATCTCAATCTGTGGAAGTCCATGGATTGTTATAATTTTCCTACAGCTTCAAGCAGGTATTGCAGTTCTTTGTGCAGTGCCTACCAGCACCTGACCCCACCTTGCATTCCTCCTCTCAGGATTCCCATGCTCTCCTTTCTGCTGGCTAAAAGATTCTTCTTTTCCTGTGTCCGAGGTGTTGCCCTGCAATGACACCCAAGTGGCTAAAAAAAGAGCTGTGCTACCTCCTTTAAGCCCTTCCCACTTTCACATGTTGAGTGTTAAGACTCCGTTAAAAGCTGCAGATGTCAGTTTGAATTGCTCACATCTCTGCTGACTGCGCTTTGGGTAGGGGGGATTTGATTTCACCCACTGCAGCTGTGGGAGCTGCTCACAGAGCAGGAACCTCAGTGCAGGTTAAAAGTGACACAGTGACCTGGAGCAGGAGCTTTGCCAGGCTGTGTCTGGAGGTCTGAGCTCACACAAACCACGCACACACACCTGACAGCCTGGGATTTTGGAAAGGGATGGCCAGAAACACAGCAGCTTTTTCTGCTTCTCTTCCCCTTGGTCTGCAGGCACTTGCATCTTAAAAGTGTGATTTTTTTTTTTTTTGCAGCTATATAGAGTATTCTTAGTAAATCTGTCAAAAAGTTCTGCATAGAACTGGCTATATTTAGCCTGGCACTTCTCTTAAATACTCAATTATCTGTAATTTGATTTCACAACTTCTGTCTCCATAGATTCTCCCTGTGTTAGCAAGGTTGGCAAAGAATAACACACTCCTGAGTAAACACACACTGGTGCACTGTGAAGCTGGGCTACCTAAGGGTTTGTGAGGGCTCATGTGGCAGCTTAGCACAGCTTTATCCAAAAGTAGGGACAAATCACTAAGCTTAATGCTAGAGTAACGGTGCCACAAAGTTGAGTTACTAAACCTCATTGTGGTAAGAGATTAACTCAAGTTACAGCAGAGACTTTTGTTTAGATAAGGCCCTGGCATCTATTCCCCCTGGGCTGGATACTTGAGCATCCCTCAAGAGGAAAGCTGTAACACAGGGATATTGCTAATCTATCTTAAAAGCTCTTAAGTAGATTAAGTGTTTTGAGAAGGGCTCTAAATGTTCATCCAAAAATCATCCAAAAATCCCTCAGGCATTTCAGGATACTTTAGCTGATTGTTTTGGTAGCTCCAGAAGAGCAGCACAGAGCCAGCTGCAGCCAGCCCTGAGGGACCAACATCCCTGGGAGCAGAGGATGTTCCTCACCTGCTGTCCTAACACCCGTGGCAGGAGCACAAACCAGTTCCCAGTGACTGCTGAGAGCACTGCCCTCCTAGTTTAATGTTAAAGTTTCACTCTGTGCTTACAAAAAGATCTACATCTTCCTCCCTGTGTCTCTACAAATGCCCTGGATGGTTTTGCTGCAGCACAGTGCAGCAAGAGACTGACTTGTGAGACTACACAGAGGCTCCATCCCCTGCATCTAAGTGATGCAAATGTGATCAGATGTCTCAGAATGCCTCTGAAAAATGCAGGATGCTGCACAGCCTTCCTGAATATTTCAGCATCCTGGGCAGAGTCAACAAGTTGGGAATGTGCACTCCAACCTGTGCCCAGGACAGACAGTTCAGTTCTGCAAACTGCAGGGTCACATCCCACAGCTCTGCCTTCACCACTGGGTAAAAGCACTGAAAGGCTCTCACCCCATTTTCCCTGAACACATTCCTCACACCCTCCTGTCCACTTTCACACGCCTGCTGGTGCTGCAGAGGAGATTTCTTTGGCAGGAAAGGCACTTGTGAATCAAAGACTCGCATTCCACTCGGGTTTAGCATTATCAGGAGCAAGACAATTTGCACAACTGAGAGCTAAAGCTAAGCAGCTGATAACTACTGCTCTCCTGTGGTCCTCCCGAAATCCAGGCACATTTCATGCTGCTGCAGGGAAAAGTGCTCAGTACAGAGAAGGATGAAAAATACCCAAACTGATATTCTGCTGGTATTTATTAAAAATAAAAGTCAAACTAGTTCTCTAAACAGTGAACTACTGAACACTTGGAATGCTCTGCTCCCACTGTGTGCTGACAGTTCAAGTGGGATATCAGAACCCAGTTATCAAACACCAAAAAACCAAAATAATGGCTGGAATTGCCCAGAAACAGCCTAATGTTGTGCCAGCCTTTGAACTCGAGTACCAAACCTTGAGGGTCCCCCAGGACATTTGCCACCTCAGCTATGATGATGGCTTGTTTATCATACCCACATCAACTCCGAGTCAGCTGCAACTCCTCTCGGACAGCCCCTCCTACACAAAGCCATAAACCTCAGCCTGACCACACACAGCATTTTGCAACTGTCCCTAGAGAAACAAACATCCACGGCTGCCCCCTCATTCTGCTAACACAACAAGCAACAGTCTAATATTCCTTAAAACAAGTTACTGGAGGAATTCAGCAATGTCTGAGTGACAAAAAGGGATCAGTAAAAGCACTGCCCAGCCTGAAGGAATCAGCATGAATGCATAACATCTTCCTGTCATCAGAACAGTGAAGAGAAATAAAAGTTAAGTAATTCTTATTAGTCTCCCAAAATGACAGAAAGTATCCCAGAAGAGCAGAGATTTCTGTTCACCTAGGACATCCTGACACGGTATGGAACAAACTAACACTTAGGGATTATCTTCCAGGTGATACAAATATTTACTCAGGGGAGAGAGGATCCCTGCTGCAGTTGGAGTTACTTCCAGCCCATCTGGCCTTTGTGCTGTTGATAGTCCACCCCTAAATGGCAGATCAGCAGAACTGCTGACAGCACATATTTTCTCACATATGTATTCACAGGCTACGTATCTGGACATGCAGCTGTCTCTGATTGCTTCCATCTGAGAGGGGAAAGATTTCTTTGTCCCCTCTCCACTTCTCCTGAGACAGCCATGAAGAAATCTGGACAGCTTGTCACTTCACTGGAGTCACCCCAATCAACAGCAACCCACGAGGTATTTTTGATAGATGCTCTCAGTTCCACAGAAATTGCTTTACGCAATTCAACTGCTGATATGCAAAATCGGTATCAACACTTCCCTTCTCTCCAAGTTTACAACACTGAGTATAAAATAACTTCTCAGTGAACTTCAAGAGTCCAGGATAGACCAAGCTCTTGCATGAAATCCAACTTCAAACACACAGGAATTATTATCCTAAGGGCAATTCTAACAGTCTTGGAAAAAATAAGTAAAACTCAAGGAAAAGGGAATGCTGAGAGCATCAGTTTAAGGGCTAACATATGGAAAGGAAGATGGTGGGTAAAGAGAGCATGTTGTAAAGAATGTTATTTACAAAAGGCACCCAGCATCTACCCCAAAAGATCTGCCCTGACAGAGTTCTCACATTTTCTCTGGAGTCTGGAGAGTCTGGAGAGCCCGAGAGGCTCATGGAACCAGAGACAAATCAGAAACACACATCCTTTGTTAGCCAGGAAAAAGCCAGGCTGCATTTCTGTGTTGGTTTTTTTTTTTTTTTTTACAGTGTCTTAAAGTTCAGACTAAAATTATCTTTAAGCAGATGTTTCAGCCTGAAAATGGTTTTAATATTATACCAGCAAAGCAGCAAAGCTTCCTTTCTGTAGAATTAACCTTTTCCTGAAGCAACCTACTCAGGAATGCAGGTGCCTTACCGGAAGAAACAGGCGCTGGGCAGCACATGGTTTGAATAACTTCTTCCATTCCTGAGCATTTCCTACTGAGAAGGTTATTGGGTAAATGTTGGACTCAAACTTCTTTGTATATGAGGAAGGCCACTCCTTTAACTGAAAGACATGGTGGGAGGAAATCAGACACTACACGTTATAGAGCTTTTGTTAAAAAATGCATGCCTAAGGAATTTATAAATGTGGACAGTAAGCAACGTGCTCAGCTGCTACTCGTTAATGTCATCTTCTCAGAGATTTAAAACTTATAACTATTTATTCATTTATTTACCAAATGACAAAGAAACTCACCTTTGTCTCAAATTGAGGCTTAAGGGAATCCTCAGCGAAGATGTGGAAGCAGAGCCTCCTGCTGCTGAAGAGAACTGCTGATTTCAGCATGATCAGGGTCTCCTCCAGCCGGTCCCCACATGCCACCACTGCCAGATGCATACACTGCAAGGATGGGGGCTCCTTTGGAGGTTTCTGCTCTCCAGGCTTCCTGAAAATTCAGGGAGAGGCACATAAAGATTATTGAGGTAGACATGAAGAGAATCCCTCATTAACAGACAGCAGGGTTGGTTTTTTTCTTCATCATTCTGCAAAGGACCAGGAGGGTTTTTTTGGTTAGATATTTACAGAACAAGCAAATAGCATGGTAATTCCCATCCATGGTACAGATCAACAGTGTTACAATTATAACATAAAGAAAAAGGCTATTTTCTGTTATTCCTACATTTCTGAGCTTGCAAAAATCACTGCACTACAGACACAGATGAAGCCAATTTCACTTCACCTCAAACCAGACACCACCTTGCTCTGTGCAAATGACAGCTCTTTCCCCAGCCCAGAGGTCACAAATCCAGAACAGTTACAGCTACCCAGGCAACTTTCTAACACAATGCAGAACACACAACTGCATCCAGCATTTCCTAGCCCATAATGGCTAGATTGGAAGAAGACACCCATACTTTTAAAAAAAACCCATTGCATCCATATGTAAATTGTTCTAACAGTTAATTAATTTTCTATGAAAGATGCATGCCTTAATCCTGGCCTGAAGGTACTGGCAGAGTTTCAAAGGACTGCTCTCCATATCACCCCATGGAATCCATGAGACTTTGCTAAAATAGAGATTTTTGAAAACAAATATAGTCACATATCCCAGATGAATCAGACTATATTCCAAGGGCCAAACTGGGATTTTCACTTAGCACCCACCTGTGTGGGCTTTAAATACATTTCATCCAGATACAGGGAACACATCAAGAGGCACAATGAAGCTTCCTGCTAGACAGAAAAATCAGGTTCTCCTGGGGAGTTGAAGACCTTTTGAAAGCAGTCTTTTGGTTCTGTGTTTAGTGTGGAGGTAAAAATTGCATCCTCCAGGAATGCTTGCACCATGGTGTATCCACATTCCAACGCTGATGGCACTTAGCCTCCATCACACAGGATGGAGCTGACCAAGCCACCAAATCCCAGGCACAGAAATCATTCCTGGAGAGTTCAAAAGGCAAATCATAGATCACTGCCTGCTCTGGACATACCTCTGAGCACAGCACATCAATCCCAGCCCTGCTCAGAGCACACAATTACACACACAATTAATCACCGGAGTTAATGCTACAAACAGAAGTTCCAAATAAGGACAAAAATGACAGTTTAAAGCTGTTATTATTTTTTCCAGACACTCTGTGTAACAGCAGCATTCTACCCTTCAGAGTAACCCACCTCTGTGTAAAGGAACACCAGGCACTGACACTTCACTGACTGTACACAGCAACACGTTTCATTAAGGGTTTAAAATCTTCTGCTTTAGTCCTAATTAACCCCCAATTTCATCAGTGTATAAATAATGGAATATTACATCTATGTGAAGTGGTATTTACTTTCCAACCTATTAGTGTAAAAATTGCTGAATTATTGAAGTGAATAATTAGCTGCTGATACAGATCACCTTTCCCCCTTCTCTCCATCTGTGTAATGTTTCCTCTTAATTGAGTCTCTAAATCAAGCCATGCACAGGCTGGGAGCTGCTTTGATGTAGTTTCTGGCAATGGAATTCACTGGGAGAGGGACTAAACCCTGCACTTTTATTGGAACATTTCAAAACCCCACACCAAAGCACTCAGCTTCCCTGGGCAGTTTCAGCCACAGTGAGCTCTGCATTATGCAGCTGTTCTGCAGTGAAAAATCCAGTATGTGCAGACAACACTTCCAAAGGACACACTCAGCAGAAGCAATCCCTGGTGAAAGCAGAATGCCTGGAAAGCCCATGGGAGTAGGGATAACAACGCACATCCAACACAAACACTGTGGAGGAGAAAGATGAGCCTTGGAGGTGAGGAATTTCCAATACTGCAGGGGTTCAGGAGCCTGGAGTGGCCTGAATTGGAATAAACATCCCAGAACAAGGAGCTATTTGAACTACATCAGTCATAGTCTGGGACACTGAGGGCAATAATCAGTGAGAGAAGTAGCAATGAGGTACAAAAGAACTTTGGGACACAACATTTTGCATGTCCTTTGTAAGTACATAAAGAAAATTAGATGACAGCGAAAACAAAGGTGAGCAGGAATGGGAGATACAACAGTGCCACAGCAGGATGCATTTGACTGCCATTTTAAAAAATAAAATTAGGCTTTAAAAAATAACAGTTATCCAGAAGCCTGAGAAGGGGCAGGTGTAGAAGAGGCAAACAAGCAGATGATGGCAAAGAAGCTCCCAGCTCCCCTTCCCTGCCCATGCAGGTACCTCATACAGGGCACGGAGAATGGAGAGGACAGGAGGAACAGCTGCAGGGAAGGACATCCCCCCTAAAGATGCAGGGCACAGCCAAGCTGTCCCACCTGTAAAATGGGAACAGCTGTTACAGCTCTAAGAATCTCCCACCTCAAGAGACTCCCAAGACATTAAAAAGCCCAAAGACCAACAGAGTAATGCAATTATTATCATTAGCCAATTCTTCCTAACGTTTACATTCATTCCTTTATAGTTCAACTTGTCTGTTATGAACAGTCTCTAGCTGGATTTTATAACCTAAATTAAATGTTTAAGCACATTGAAAGCAATGCAGAGACCTGGGCCCTACAGTTTAATATGTTTGACAAGAACAAATACACAAACTAAGATCAAGCACTCCAGAAACCATCACAAAATACTTGCAGAACACATCCCCACGGAGTGGCTGAAGACTGAACTCAATAAGATGGAGCACAATAAAATGTTTACAGCAAAAACCTTCCAACAACACAGAACAACTCCCATCCAGTTGCTCACTTGTATTTTATTTACTGAATACAATTTCTGCAGAAAGGCACTGACACAGCAGGAGCAGCCTGAGTGCTCAAGCACAACAGTGTGCATTCCTAGGTCTTAAAGTTTAGATTACATGTAATTTTCTTATTAGTCACAGCCAAAGTGCCTCAAACATAATTAACCCAAAACCTGTCTAAATCAATCCAAATCCATTCAAAATAATGCATTCCCACCTCATTTCAGAGCCTGCTAATCTATTCAAGCCTTCAAATTTATTCCTGAAAGATAATGCATGCAGACACTTCCAAAATGCAATATAGCTGTTGATGTTTGAAACCTTCTTCCCATTATGATCTCATTTACTTTTGCAGCACAAACAAGGGTAGATTTAGGCATTGTATCAAAACTGGTGATTCACTGAACAGGCTCCTTCCCTGAGAGCCACCCCTGAGCCAACGTCCCAACAACAGCTCCATGATGTGAAACACATTTTCTTGCACACTTTGAAATACAGATTTTTTAAATCAACCTTTCTCACTTTGCAGCAGTTGCACAAAACCAACTGGAGCTGCTGTCAATCCAAAAATGGTTAAAGTTTCAACCTTCTCCAACCACTGAGAGAAAAGGAAAAAAGCCACTCAAAACCAGAATGGATGTTTCTCTCTCCCTTTATGAAGTGGGTTCTTTATGAAACAAGTATGAAACACTTGGGGTTTCAGCATGGTATTATCAAACTCAAGCCAAACTTGCATCTGTGTGCACAGAGGCTGCACAGAAAGAAAAAGTATTGTGACAGGTTGCCACGCAAGGGATGTTTTGCATTGGAAAAGTTACTTTCAGGGAACTAAATGTGCTGGAGAAGGTTCACTTTCCTTGCTTTGCCACGCTGGTTTAAGAGAGAGCAGGGTCACATCTGCCCTTCAAATGTAAAATGATCCTCCTCCTTTTTGATACTTTGCACACATGGGTTTGGCACGTATTTCAAATTCTTTATATAAAAAAGTCTTACTGAAAGCATAGAACTTGCTACTTCCAACAGGAATGAGCAGTAAAACCACCACAAAAAATCAAGTTTTCAAAGCTAACCAGAAACTTACCTAGATTTGTCAAAATTACCTAATGACCAAAGCAGGACACATGAATGTCATTGCTAACATTTGTGAGGCACCAGCCAGCAAATGACATGTGCCTACATTAAGCTTTATGTACAGCTTCTTTTGTTAAAAGAATTCTGCATTGCTTAAAACTTAAAATCTGATGTATTCTGATATTATGGGACTACAGAAAGCAGTATTACAAATCCCAGTCAAAATACAATTCATCTTCCCTGCATGATGCTGATTCTCATGAAGGAAACACAAATCCTAAGTTTCACCTTTGTTTCTCAGCTGAGCTCAAAACTTGCATCCTCTGACAAACCACCCTGACAAAACTGAATTTGAATGTTTTACATTCAAGTTCTGTCAATCAACTCTGCAGTCTCATACAAGCATGTACACTGTAAGATCCTACAGTCCTAATCAGATTTGTTATCCTGAATGAATCAGTTAGATAAAGTGGGATCTCTTGCATCAAATAAAAAAATAACGTGCTTTTGCTCATAAGGAGGAACTGAAATGATAATCATGGCCTGTTTCTTACAATCCAAATTCAAACCCCCCCCAGCGCTTTCAGTTTAGCTTGGATCAGGCTTTCTAAACCCAGCAGATCCCACCACCTGATGCCTTTCAATCACCTCCACTTCAAACTACTTATGTCACACCCTCCCCACGAAAATTCTTTTTTTATGGATACCCTCACCTGAATGAACTGTAGTAGTAACTAATATAACACAGAATCTTTCAGGAAATGGCTGAACAGGACCTACAGAATTGGGCTGCCCAGTTATACAAACTCCTGCTGGGGCCAATGGTGCAGGATGACACAGGAAAAAACAACCACCAAGCCCCACAAACATAATTCTGAAGAAAATGCGCACTTTGAATACTAAATTCCTCCCTTTTTGGTTTTTTTTTTTTTTTTTTTTGCTATTGTGTTGCAGACCTTCTAAAAAGGACTTGCAAAGTCAACAAATAATCAAAAAGTTAGATAATGTCAAATTGTGAAACATGAAGATGCCACTGCAAAGCGCTTTGAAGTGGAATGGTTGTTTACACTCTCCGGCAGTTCCACACTGCCCGGGCTCCCTCCTTCAGTGTTC